TCCACCTCGCACCTCATGCTGCCACTATAGCCTGTGAGGCCCATCACAAGCCGCTTGGCGCCTGGAATGCCACGTGCTCTTTTTTCTCCCTACAAAGTACCTGAATACCTCGTTGAGCAGTCTCAGTTCTCACCTCTACATCTCGCTGCAAGCTGCCACTGTAGCCTGTGACGCTCAGCAGCAGCCGCTGAGCACCGGGAACGGCGCATTTGAAGCGCATGGGGCGATGCAGCACCTGAGGTGGCAGGCAGGCAGGTGGGGTAGGTGGAGTGGGAAGTAAGTCAAGGTGTGGCAGGTGGGGCAGGTAGGCGGGGGAAGGTTACCACAGCACCAGGTGCTAGGCACCGGGAATGGCGCATTTGAAGCGCATGGGGCGATGCAGCACCTGGGGTGGCAGGCAGGCAGGTGGGGCATATGGAGAGTAGCGGGGGAGAGAGACAAATCAAGGTGCGACAGGTGGGACAGGTGGAGTGAAGACACATGACCCCTCTGTGCCAGAATAACTTCTGGAGAGTCTTCAAAAGCAAATGTGTCAAACATTGAGATGTGATGCTATTGAAAAAAGGAGAGCATGTTGCTTGTGTGGAGCAGAGGAGAGGGGCGGGAATAACAGCTATAGCTAGCAAGGATATGGGCAGAAGCCGGAAGTCTGCAGCATACCGAGGAGAGGGGCAGGATGCGGGAGTGGCGGAGGCAGTGGGTGAGCCACCTGGCAGTGACCACCACCTTGCCGTCGCTCTCTGCCCTCACGCACAGCTCGTCCTCCTGGCGGGGTGGATGGGCAAGAAGGGAGGAGGGGTGGATGGGTGGTGAGGGGGATGGGCAGTGGGGGAGGCCTGGACAGCAGCGCCAGTGGGCAGTGTCATCACCACCATTATCACCTTGGTGTCACTCTCTGCCCTCCCACGCTCTCTGCCCTCCCACACTCTCTGCCCTCCCACGCTCTCTGCCCTCCCACGCTCTCTGCCCTCCCACGCTCTCTGCCCTCCCACGCTCTCTGCCCTCCCACGCTCTCTGCCCTCCCATACTCCCGCATCCTATAGGTCAGCACCACTCACCAGGTTCGTAGAGAACGAGGGGAGGTAGAGACCAGACAGGGTGCCAGAGGGAGCCGCCGGACACGGGAGAACTGTGGAGAAGCGAGACAGGACAGGACCCCCAGAGGGGTCAGCCAGAGACACCGCAACCGGCCGACTGAGCGGCGTGAGTGTGGTACGGTCCCGAAAGAAGGAGCGAGAAGCCCCAGAGTCAAGGGTGAAGGTGAGGGAGGCCGAAGCAGACGAAGTACCTGAGCGCGCGACTCACCAGTACCTGAGGACGCAGACGCACTAGCACCTAGAGCAGCAGCGTCGCAAGCACCTAGGGCAGCAGCCGCACCAGTACCTAGAGCAGCAGTCTCAATGCCCGGATCGGGCGGGAAGCACCAGTAACAGTCACCCTCATCACTATTAGACACAGCATACATGGCAGAGAGAATAGCATCAAAGTCAAGATCAAAGATGGCAACACCCGCCCTAGACAGCTCGCCCCAGCGAGGGATCTCTGAGGCCTCCGGGAACTGGTGACGCCACGCGTCCGTCAGGCGGCCAAAGCAGCGCTGGGTGGGGTGCGCACCCCCACACTGCTCACCCGCACGGTCGCCGGTGCGCAGGACGTAGGTGCACGGACCAAAACCCCCACCCCGCTGGCGTGCAAGGTACCACTCACGGAGCTGCTGAGGGGACAGGGTATCACGACCGCGCTGCTGCTGCTGGCGCGAGCCACCGCCGGAGCCACTCCTCTGCGAGGACCCGCGACCAGCTCCACCGCCACCCCCACCGCCTCCGCCGCCTCCGCTGCCTCCGCTACTGCCGCCGCCTCCACCGCCGCCTCCTCCGCCACCTCCGCTCCCACCGCCACCGCCGCCGCCGCCTCCGCCTCCACTGCCGCCACCGACCCCTCCACCCCCACCTCCACTCCCACCGCCACCCCCACTCCCCCCACCGCCTCCACCTCCACCTCCACCGCCCGCTCCTCCAGCTCCCTTGCCCCCCTTGCCCTTGCCAGGGCGGCGTCTCCCGCTAGGGGCAGACGCCGCACCGACCGACTCAAGACCAAGGAGGTCGGCCGCAGCAGCAGAGGCAACAGAGGGCAGCAGGGGGGAGGGGGAACACCCCTCAAAGATGGGGGTGCGCGGGTCACCTCGAGAGGCTCCTACAGCGACTATGCTCTTCTCTCTCGCGAGGAGGGCCTTCTCGAGGAGGTCGACAGTGAGTGTGGTTGGACAGACTGAGAGAAAGTGGTCCCTGACCACTCGAAGGGAGTCAGGAAGGCGAGTGACTAGGAAGTACAGAGTGATGTACATGGGGGGGGGGTTCGTGGCGCAGAGGTCAGCAGGAAGTGCAGCGCGGTAGCGAGTGTCACTAGTGCGAAGGTGCGTAATGAGGTCAGCTACGGTGGGAAAGGCAGCAAGGTCAGGGAAGAGGTACGGTAGCATGAGACGGCTCAGTGCAGCAGTGGCAGGGGATGAGTAGCGCGCGACTACAGCGTCGTACAAGGTCTGAGCACTCTTGTACTGACTAAAGTGCGCACGCTCGGAGGTAGGAAGGTGGCGACGCACAGCTAGACGTGCAGCAGCGACGCGCGTGGCCCACTGGGAGCGAACGGTGGCGTCAGCATCGGCAGCAGGGGCAGGGGAAGCGCCAGAGGTAAGGTCAAAGAGAGAGAGGCCGTCTGCCCTATCGCACTGTAAGAACAGTTGCAGGTCGTCTACCCAGACCTCAAAGTCAATGGCCCGACCCTCAGCGTCAAAAGCGAGGACACTAGGGGTAGCCATGACGACAAGCGACTAGCAGTGCAAACAGTAGGGTGAGGGCAGTGCAGGAAAAAGGGCGCTGTGCTCACCAGACGGGGCAGCTCGAGCGGTCCGGAAGTAGGGCAGCTCAGCGGCTCAGCGGCTCGGCTGCTGGGCGGCTCGGCTGCTGGGCAGCTCGGCTGCTGGGCGGCTCGGCAGCTGGGCGGCTCGGCTGCTGGGCGGCTCGGCTGCTGGGCGGCTCGGCGGCTCGGCTGCTGGGTGGCTCGGCTGCTCGGCGGCTCGGCTGGTGAGCGACTCGGCGGCCGAGCGGCTCGGTGGTTTTGCCGCTAGGCGGCTCGGCGGCGCTGGTTCAGGGCGGCGCGGAGTCGTAGATAGGGCGGCGGGTGGGCCGCGGGTAGGGCAGCGGTAGGGCCGCAGGTAGGGTGGCGGTAGAGCCGCAGGTAGGGCGGCGGGAGGGCCGCAGGTAGGGCAGCGGTAGGGCCGCAGGTAGGACGGCGGTAGGTGGGCCGCAGGTCGGGCGGCGGGTGGGCCGCAGGTAGGGCAGCGGGTGGGCCGCAGGTAGGCGGCGGTAGGGCCGCAGGTAGGGCGGCGGGTGGGCCGCAGGTAGGACGGCGGGTGGGCCGCAGGTCGGGCGGCGGGTGGGCCGCAGGTAGGGCGGCGGGTGAGCCGCAGGTAGACGGCGAGGCCGAAGGTAGGCGACGGGGCCGGAGATGGGTGGCGGGGCCGCGTCGAAGGTATGCAGGTAGGGCGACGGGGCCGGGGCCGGTATGCAGGTAGGGCGACGGGGCCGGGTCGAAGGTATGCAGGTAGGGCGACGGGGCAGGGGCCGGTATTCAGGTAGGGCGACGGGGCCGGGTCGAAGGTATGCAGGTAGGGCGACGGGGCCGGGGCCGGTATGCAGGTAGGGCGACGGGGCCGGGTCGAAGGTATGCAGGTAGGGGCGGCACGCGACGCCGCTAAGGGAGGCGACGGGCCGTGCGGCGACGTGCCGGAACTGGCGGCGCGGGGCCGGGACGGGCGGCGCGAGTGCGTCGTCGGGCCGGGACGGGCGGCGAGAGGGCGGCGCCGGGCCGCGAAGGGTGGCGCCGGGCAGCGTAGGGTGGCGACGGGCCGCTAAGGCGTGACGGGCCGCACCGGGCGGCGCGACAGAAGGGAGAGGGCACGGGGCGCGACTCGGGCCTGAGCGGAGTGCGCTCCGGGCAGGAAAAAAAAGGTTCGTAGTGGTGGGCCCTAGGAATCGTTCCCGGTAGGGAACCTGCTCTATACCATGAGAAGAAACGAGGAAATGAATTAACTATGAATGAAGTGGGTACAAGTACTAACCTTAATTGGGTTGTACCCCCTATGGGATACCCCACTACAGCCTACACAATAGTATAAGCTATAATGTTTCGACATACACTTGCCATCTTACAATATATTACGAGTTTCTATAAGAAATCATTAGTTGACGTATACCGAAACCCTTTAGCTGAGTAAGTTCTCATGCACGATCAACTTTGACTTCGTTAGGCAGCCAGTGTATAACTTATCAACATATGGGATGCATATATACAATATGCATGCACAGGAAGGAGAATAATACTCAAACACGAACTAACCAGAGCATATAAGGAAATTATTTTTTTACGTTAGTATGTATTACTCAGATTGTTGAAAAACATCCAGTAATTGATTTTGAAGTGCATCCTTTTATGTACAGTTGTCATTGTACTATGCACTTGGCATTGTATGGGGGGTAGTATGAAGGGAGAACGCACGGATTCAGAAAGGTGTATCGACGAAATTGCTGTCATCGAAAGTAACCACGTCACAAGTCGGTTACCAAACGCATTCGGAGCAACAAGGATCGCGAGATGAATTTTGTATCTCTTTGCGACCGAATCCTAAGCGTCGGCGAAGCTCAAGTCAAGCACTTCGCATCCGACCTCCCATAATTCAATCCACCGCGTCGCATGTGCTGCGATTGGTCATTGAGGAATGCGAAATCGAATTATTGGCTTACCCCTATAATTCACGAAGCGCGATTTGACGGGATTTGTGCTGAACGAAAAGTCCTGACCCATGCATGTGCTAGACTTCCATCCCTGAAGCTCCTGACCTGACCCACAGCATAAATCTCCGAGTCCTGAACTCAGAAGCTATCAGTTACCCCCGTGTCACCACTTTTGAACAACCGAGCTAGTACTTAGCGCAGCTTGTCAATATGTTGCTTGGATTCGTTCTCGTGCTGGTCTTCTGCGGGCCGCTGGGCAGCGAAGGAGCTCGGGGGCGGCGACTCTCGAGCGATAACGATCTACGTAAGACGAGTTTCATGACGATGGCCTCGCGTAAAGAGTGAATTTTCTTTTCTCGCTGACGCATCATAGCGGATAATCTGTGTCACAGGTACTAGGAATTGCTCACGCACTTCACTACGTGAGCTTGAAAGCTTCAGATTCTCTACTAATTTCATCTCCTCCAAATCGCGCCCCATAAATTCCCCCATGCAGCCGGACTCGGACACAAATCTTTGTTCGCGGAACAGAATCCCGCGCCTGGCTCCCCTGGCGACTCGGGAATTGTTTTTTCCGGTTCGGATGCTCCACTACAGCGCAAACTCGAGCAGCAGGGGCAGAAGCCGCAGCAAGACGCGGGGGCGACTCAGCAGGACGCGGGGGCGACGCAGCAAGACGCGGGGGCGACGCAGCAGGACGCGCCGACGGCGCAGCAAGACGCGGGGGCGACCCAGCAGGACGCAGCGACGACGCAGCAAGACGCGGGGACGACGCCGCAAGACGCGGCGACGACGCCGCAAGACGCGCCGACGACGCCGCAAGACGCGCCGACGACACAGCAAGACACGGTGACGACGCCGCAAGACGCAGTGACGACACAGATTGATGCGGCGGCGTCATACAAGAGCACGCTGGCATCCCGGGAGAAACAGCGGCAGGAAATGCTGCAGAAGCTGCAGCAGCAGCGGCAGCAGCTGCAGCAGCAGCAGCAGCAGCGGCAGCAGCAGTTGCTGCAGCGACAGCAGCAGTTGCAGCAGCAGTTGCAGCAGCGGCAGCAACAGTTGCAGCAGAAGCAGCAGCAGCAGGGACAGCCGGAGAAGCAGCAGGAGGGGGTGGTGGAGAAGCGCCCCCCTGCGGAGGTGGGGAAGCAACCGCCAGCGGAGGCAAAGAAACAGCCGGAAACGGAGGCGGAGAAGAGGCTGCGGGAGGAAGAAGAGCAGAGGAAGAAGCAGCAGGAGATGATCAAGCTTCAACAGGAGGCGTCATACAAGGCTATGCTGGCATACAAGGAGAATGAGCGGCAGAAAGAGCTGCAGAGGCAGGAGAAGGTGAAGCAGCAGAAGGAACAGGAAAGGATGGAGCAGGAGCGACCCGAGTTGAAGCAGCAGCGGCTTGAAAAGGAGAAGGAGATGAGCCGGCTTCAACAGGAGGCCTCAAGGAAGGCCTACGAGGAATACCAGGAAAGGAAGCGGCAGGAGGAGCTGTGGAAGAAGCAGCAGCAGCAGCAGAAGCAGCAGGAGGAGGAAGAGCAGAGGAAGAAGCAGCAGCAAGCGGAAGAGGCGCAGAAGAAGCAGCAGCAGCAAGCGGAAGAGGCGCAGAAGGAGATGCAGCAGCAAGCGGAAGAGGCGCAGAAGAAGATGCAGCAGCAAGCGGAAGAGGAGAAGAAGAAGAAGCAGCTGCAGGAGGAAAAGGAGAAGAAGAAGCAGCAGCAGGAGATGAGCAAGCTTCAACAGGAGGCGTCATACAAGGCTATGCTGGAATACAAGGAGAATGAGCGGCAGAAAGAGCTGCAGAGGCAGGAGAAGGTGAAGCAGCAGAAGGAACAGGAAAGGTTGGAGCAGGAGCGACCCGAGTTGAAGCAGCAGCGGCTGGAAAAGGAGAAGGAGATGAGCCGGCTTCAACAGGAGGCCTCAAGGAAGGCCTACGAGGAATACCAGGAAAGGAAGCGGCAGGAGGAGCTGTGGAAGAAGCAGCAGCAGCAGCAGGGGCAGTGACAGCCGGGACGGAGCACGATGCTGCGTCCGGCAAGCGAAAGATTGCACCCCGGGCATGTGCAAGGATGGGGAGACGTGCAAGCCTGTGCGCACATGCAGGGGGTATATTTGCCTGGCGGACTGCTCTAATCTGAAGTCTGAGAAGCCCAGGAAGAAGCTGGATAACATGAGTAAGAGCCCCGACCAGAGGTCGTTGGCTCCGGGGGAAGAAAAGAGGACGACTGGAGAGGCGGTGAAGGAGAGTGATGACGGAAGTGGCAGTCAAGCTCATAGAGGCACCTAGCTTATAAAGTGTTAAAATGAGTGTTTGTGGTATGGGGCAAGGGAAGGAGCGTGAGGGGAGTGTGTGTGTGTGTGTGAGAGAGGGGGGGGGGGAGTGAGGTTTAGTTAGGGTGGTTTTCTTTTCTTTTGTAAGGTGCATGTAGGTGCATTTCAAAGTTGGCTAATTTCGTTTTGTATTGTGCAACTTTTATAAATCTATTTCCCATAATCTTGTTAGTGTAACGAGGACCCTCGTTGCGAAGCGTCTCTCGAATTCGAAGTTCGCCTGACAACTTCTCTCTTCCAGAACCCGACAGAGTGAACAAAACACGCCGAACTCTCGAGGGCGTGCGATTTCTCCACACACATGCTGGATCGATTTTTGAGTCGACTCAAAAGCGTGTACTGAGTCGACTTTTGAGTCGACTCGAAGGCTGCGTTCTGCAGGCACGACAGAGGGGGGGGAGCGGTAAATAAGAACCTTCCCCCAACTGCGTTTTTTGGATCAAACGCCCGGTCAGCCCGGAAAATGGATCTGAGCCTCCCATTTACCCTCCGAACGTAAACGAAGGTAATGGCAACAGAACAGCATTTACCCTCGTGGCATTTACCCTCGTGGATTTGAGGGCGTAGGAAGCTGCCTATTTCCCCACCCCACCTTCCTTCTCTGGCAAAATTTGCCTCCTCCTCCCCCCCTTTCGAAAACTGCTCTTGCCCGGGATGTGAGACGGAGGGGGGAGGGAGGTGTTGGGTTAGGGAACACCACACTTGAACCCTGGAAAGCAAACAGCCCCTCCTTGAGTAGCCCAAAAAGGGACGCGTCAAACTAACATGTAAAAAAACCGGCCAAACAGGGAGTGCAAGGTGGGACCCTTTTTTCCTACGTGGTAATCCTTCTCAAAATTTCAACCCTTTTTCTGATTTCGCGGAGCTCTATTTACCCAACTTCTGTGAGTTGGAAATTGTGGCTGTTTTTTCGGCATTACCTTCAGCAGCTTCGCACCCACACCCGAAATTTCCAACTTTCGGTTGTAGCAGGGGGGGGGGGGGGATTCGAAGGGGAAACTGCCTTGGAACCCTCGTCATTTCCCTTCGCCCCCCCCACCTCCCTCCCAAGGGAAATGGCTACAGAACGCAGCCGATATTTGAGTCCACTCAAAAATCTTCTCCCCACACATGCTGGATCCTCCACCACATCCCCCAACACAGAAATTGATTTTGGAGAGGGCAATGTGGAGGATCTGGATCAGGGCTTATTTTATCAGGGTAAATCACCCTGATGCCTTGATGAACAGGGTGGTTTTTAGGTAATAACACTGATGCGTTAGGGTAAATTTTTGGGACCTTTATTTACCCTGATGTGCCAGGGTTTACGATTAAGCTTACACTGTCGCCTCAGGGTTGCCGGTCCTCTTATCGAGTTTTACCCTGAAGCGTGTTCCAGCCAACCCATGAGCCACCCCCCCCCAACCTTCCCCTAACCCCCCTACCCCGTAACCTGGGAATCCCCAATGCCAACTGTCGTAACATTAAATTTCGGCACGACATTACGTGTGCTGGCACGAAGTGGGCCACCATTGGCCAGTACTACAGTTGCATTCGAGGCAAAAAACCAGACGGCTGGCGAAATCAGTGGCGCTGCGGAGAAAGTTAGAACGAGAATGAATGACTAAGGAATGGAAGTGATACAAATAGGAAACCCTAATTGGGTTGTACCCCCTATGGGATACCCCACTATAGCCTACACAAAATGTATAAGCTATATAGAGTTCTAACACACCCCCATAGGCAAAGTGGGGGAGAACAAGGGGTCACAAGACCCGTCAAGCAAAGCAAAGCAAAGCAAGCTCAGGGTGGATCTCAAAGTCACCACACAGTCCGAGCACAAGTTCAAAGGCCAGAAGGTCAGTTCACATGCAAGATCACATATAGAGATATACAAGAGTCAAGCAAGCAAGAGCAAGAGTATATATAGGTGAAGGTACAAGCAAGGTCAAGGAGTGAGCAAGTGAGGCAAGACAGACACAAGGCCCAGCTGCGTGCAGCAGCGCTGATGATCACAAGGCGCAAGTGCCTTGGTGAAGACATCAGCAGTGTTGGCGTCAGAGGCCACGTACGCAAGTCGCAACTGTCCACGCTGCTGTAGCTCACGAGCAAGAAAGTAGCGGAGAGCAATGTGCTTTGTTCTGTGCTCCAGTTGCTGCTCTCGACGCAAGGCCAGCATGGCCTTGTTGTCTACGTACAGGACTGGAGGAGAACGAGGCGGCTCTCCAAGGTCGGTCAGCAGGTAGGTGAGCCAGCGAAGCTCCTGGGCAGCCATAGACCCGGCGTAGATCTCAGCCTCACAACTGGAGCCGAGAACAGAGGACGAGCGGGTAGCCCGCCACAAAACAGAGCCGGAACCAAGACTGAAGGTGTAACCCTCTGACGACCGCTGCGTAGCCTGGTCGTCAGCCCAAGAAGCGTCCGCGTGCCCAGTGAGGACCACTGGACTCCGCCCTCCAAGCACTAGCCCCATGCCCGACGTACTGCACAAGTAGCGCAACACCCTCTTCGCTGCAGCCATGTGCTCTGGTCGGTGTCTCCTAGGAGCAACATAGCGTGCGAGAATGCTAAGAGGGTATGCAAGGTCAGGTCGTGTGCAGGTCATCAGGTACATGAGGCAGCCAACAAGCTCTGCATACGGGCCACTCGACTCTACGGACTCATCCGAAGGCAGAGCTGAGAGCGAGTGGCGAGTAGGCAGAGGAGTGGCCTGAGGCGAGGAGTACGTGAAGCCGAAGCGCTGAAGGACCTGCTGCACCATGTGTGACTGAGTCAGGGTAATGGTGCGGCGTGCTCTGTCCCGGGTGATCTGCAAGCCAAGGTAGCTGCGCAGTTCACCCAGGTCAGTGCCGTGTGTCTCTTCTGCAGCTCGGACTTCACGTAGGCGAGTCCAGCAGTGTCAGCTGTGGCAAAGACCAAGTCGTCGACGTACACGAGGATGTAGAACGGCGGCAGAGAGGTGTCGATGCGCAGAAACAGCGACGGGTCTGCAGTGGAAGGAGCAAACCCAAGTGCCGCCAGTGTAGTCCTCAGTGTGTCGTGCCACTCATGCGGTGCCTGGCGAAGACCGTAGACTGGACGCCGGAGACTCCACTGGGTACCAGGAGGGAAAGACCTAGTGAAGCCAGGTGGGCGACGCAGCCAGATCTCCTCGTGCAGGCTGCCCTGCAAGAAAGCAGTGCTGAAGTCGAGAGAGTGCAGCTTGTAGTCACGGTGAGCAGCAACGTGCAGCAGTACCCGAAGAGTGGTCATCTTCGGGGTGGGGGAGAAGGTCTGAAATTAGTCAACTCCCTGCCGCTGAATGAAGCCACGAGCCACGTAACGCGCCTTGAAGACAGGCGGAGAACCCGGCGGCCGCTTCACCCTGAAAATTCACATGCCACTGACGATGTTCGCCCCAGGAGGGGGGACACCGTCAACGTAGGTGCCTGTGGACTTCCAGGAAGCCATCTCTACATCCATAGCTGCCTGCCACTGAGAGGAGTAGGGACCCTCTATCGCCTCCGCGTAAGAGCGCGGAGTCGGGATGTCTAGTGCATCCGGGTCTCCCCCAGGGGTGAGCAGTACAGACGCGAGATGAGGTGAAGCGGCGGCCAGACACTGGAACTCCTCCTGCCTATCCTCAAGGACGTCCGTGCCAAGGGCACACTCACCCCCGACGGACGGAGGACAGGCAGACTCAGACTCAGCGACAAGACTAGCAGCGTAGTCTAGACGACAGTGCGCAGCAAAGTCGACGAGCTCAGTAACAAGGGCAGACACAGCAGAAGACTCGAAAGAAGGGTCAGTGACGGCAGTAGCTAGGAGACGCGTGACAGTAGGACTGGCAGCACGAAGAGAGTCCGACTCCGGGTCGGCAAGAGCAGGAAGGGAGGAAGCAGGAGGAGAAGGCAAAGGGGCACGCAGAGGAGCAGTAGACGGACGCAGAGACATCCGGTGCGTGCCAGGGACAGGAGGAGGACGCTGACGCGAACCGCGACCACTAGTGCGTGCACCACGAACAGGCGACGCAGGACGAGACGCAGGCGCACGACGCTCAGTAAGACCTCCAGTCGGACTAGTGTAGGGAGAAGGAGCAAGCAAAGGGGAGGCAGGCTGTAGCTGTGACTGTGACTGGACAGGCTGTGGACCCTCTAAGGGAGGAGGAGGAGGACCTGGAGAAGGTGTAAGACCAAGAACCTGCTGCAGGAGTGGAACGAAGTACGGTCGGGGCCGCGTGGCGACGCCAGAAACAGCAGGGACAGCACCAGTACCCCCAGCAGGAGTACCCGCTCCAGCAGCACCTCCAGCAGCACCTCCAGTAGCACCTCCAGCAGCACCTCCAGTAGCTCCAGAACCCCCAGCAGCACCTCCAGTAGCCCCAAAACCTCCAGCAGAACCAGGAGCACCGCCAGTCGAACCGCCAGCGGTAGTCTTAGCGCCAACCCACTCAGCAGCACCAGCTCCAGGAGAACCCGCAGGCCCAGCAGCTCCAGCACTCCCAGTACGAGCACCTCCGGGACGCGCGGCAGCAGCACCCTCAGAAGCCGAAGAACCTCCAGCACTAGCAGCAAGCCTCCAGCGCCTGGCAAACCACTCAAGCAGCTCATGTGGGGAGAGTGGCTCTCGGCGAGACGAAGCACCCGGAGAACCTCCAGGCGCAGAACCTCTAGTCTCAGTACCCCCAGGCTCAGCACCCCCAGGCTCAGCACCCC